CACAGCTTTATATGGATCCTGCTGGGTCCTTTTTAACAAAGAACAAAGATACTGTAGATGAACAGAGGACACCAAGCAGCAATTATCTATCTATCTATCTATCTATCTATCATTCTCAGTTGAAATGTAGGAATTCAATTGGAGCTGTAGAGGTATCCAATTCAAATCTTTTATGTTTATTTGACAAAAAAAATTATATTTACAATAAATAAAAAAATACAAAAAATACACTCTATTCGCTGATTAGCTGACACATTGTAGGTCTGCTTGGCAGTATTTAATGACATGAGTATGGCTCTGGACCGTCTAGCTCATCTATCAAATGAAGTGAAGAAAAAAAGTGACTTTTACAGTACTACCAGCTACATTCATTCACCCCCAGATCTGTGCTTGGAAAGGTGGAGCAGAGTAGTCAGGGGAGTGGAGCAATGGGAGGACCTAGTCCAGCCTGCAGCGAATCATTAGGTCTGATCAGTCACAGGAAGCTCTAATAGGCTTGTACAGGAAGCCATTGCGAGCGAAGAGATCACTAGGTAATTGGCTGTGAATCCTGTTCCAGCATCCTCCCATCCATGGGATGGCTGCTACTATAACTCACTTCCTGTCAACCCTCGTGGCCGCCTAAGCCCGGGTTGAAGGGTCGATGAGAGGGTGCTGGCCGTCATCCAGCTCTGGAGAAGATGACAGTGTGGCAATGACCATAGATAACCCCTACAGCCTGTCCATACAATAATTGCCCTTAATTACCTCATGCCCCAATACAAAGCTAATACCCCATCAGTCAGTACAGCTATGGCGTTCTGTCGACTCTTAACAGCACGCCATCCACCTCTGTGTTTACCCCAGCAGGGCGAGGAGTGGATTCTACTGTGTCATGGAGTCAGGGAGCAGATAATTCAGCCAGTGTTTTCTTCCCCAAACAAAACAAACTGTACGTATAATCACTGAGAGGTCACACAGCACTGGACCAGAGGCCACCGCTTGTTTATCCCGTGCCCTCTTATCACCCCTTCTGCCTCTTCATCTGTTCTTATCACGGCTGGTGTTGAGAGGGGCTCCATGGCTTCCTGTTTTGGGCTTGCTGTCAACCTCTTTGACCGGTTGACCCCCAGGACTTATCTCTCACTTTCTTAAAAGCCAAAAGCCTTGTCTAAAAGCAGCAGGGCAAGTGCTCTATTTTTGCTCTTTTTGTTTCTGTTACTTGAAGGCTTGTAAACTGCAGCACACTAAGTGTGAGAGTGCAGTTGTATGAAGAGGCAACTTTTAGAAATTTCAAAGTTTGCTGTAATTATAAGAGAATAATAATATTTTTCCCCCTATATAAAAGTTTTGTTTAGCCATGGTGTGAAGAAAGGAAGTATCTGCCCGTTGGTTGCAAATGTTTTGTCATATCTATTACATTATTCAAAAATACATAATGTAATTAATACATAAAATTACTTGCATACATGTCTTCTATGATGAGGTGTGTGCATGCTATAAGCATGTTTTTAATTCAATTAAATTCAATTCACGTTTATTTGTATAGCGCTTTTCACGATACAAATCGTTGCAAAGCAACTTTCCTGCCAATTAGTTTTCTACAATATTTAGTAGTAGCTTATCAGTGGTGACTGTCAGTTAATGTACATATGGCAGAAATGTATGGAAAAATCAATTAAAGATGTAATCAAACAGAAGATGAACTCTATTAACAGCAATTATTATATGATGCAATCAAACTTATGGCAAAATTTGGTAGTTTTGTATGTTGTTTCATGGTTGGCATCATCTGAGGTCCTCTGAGGGGTTGGCATCATCTCTTCTCAGGTGTTCTGGATCCAGACTGAAGCTTGTGTAAATTCTAAAAACAGATAATTAGCGTAGCTGCTGTTCCAACCAAGCAAAATTTGATTTGTTTAACCCAAACAAGATTTGTTTAACCCAAGCTAAAGAATAATAATGCGCATTTGATCAGATATAACTGCAGTACAAGATTATGAGATGCTTTTTTTCGAATGCTTGGCCAAAGAGATGTGTCTTTAATCTAGATTTAAACAGAGAGAGAGTGTCTGAACCACGAACGTTATCAGGAAGGCTATTCTAGAGTTTGGGAGCCAAATGTGAAAAAGCTCTACCTCCTTTAGTGGACTTTGCTATCCTAGGTACTACCAAAAGTCCAGAGTTTTGCGACCTTAGGGAGCGTGATGGATTGTAGCGTGGTAGAAGACTAGTTAGGTACGCAGGAACTAACCCATTAAGGGCCTTATAGGTAAGTAATAATATTTTGTAACTGATACGGAACTTAATAGGTAGCCAGTGCAGAGACTGTAAAATTGGGGTAATATGATCATATTTTCTTGACCTGGTAAGGACTCTAGCCGCTGCATTTTGGACTACCTGTAGCTTGTTTATTGAAGATGCAG